GTTTGTGTGGTCGATCGACGATGTAACACAGTGGTATCACTATGCCTCTTATATATGATTAGGTATCACAATGTATCTTTTGTTTAACAGAGTCAATATTTTTAGGTATCACAGTGGTATCACCGGAGGACGGAGAACGATGGCCGGAGAKAGAAGAGAGGAGAGAGGAGAGTTTTAAAATATCAAAAATATCCTTGCATTAAGATTTTAATTTAAAATTACCAAATTTATAAATTTCCTAATTTATTTATTGATTTGTGGTTAATATTGGTTCTCACAGTTACCACAAACAACTCAGTTCTCCCTTGAATAGGGCCCCTATATATCTATATCTCTATATATATATATATATATATATATAGATATAGATATAGGGGCTCATTCAAGGAAGAACTGATTAGTTTCTGGTAACTGTGAGATCCAATCTCAACCACATATCAACGAATAAATTAGGAAATTAATAATTTTGGTAATTTGAGTTAAAATTATAATTAGAAAACATTTTAGGTATTTTTAAAAATTCCTCTCTCATATATCCTCTCACCTCTCTCCGACCTCATATCTCCAACCTCCGTTGAACATTATCCGGCTGTTACCAAGTAATCATTGTGATACACAATGCGATAACCGTTGTGGTATCACTGTGATACCATTGTGGTATCATTGTGTACCATTGTGATACCATTGTGGTATCATTGTGTACCATTGTGGTACCAACTATGATACCAACCAAAACCTTAAAAACAAAATAAACCATAATTTAAACTTAAGGAATACATACCGATCATCCACGTTGTGATACCCAAAATACATACAAGATGTAAAGTGATAGAGGGAAGCATCCATAAAAAAACCCCAACTATTTAGGGTATATTCAAATCAATTAGGTAAGTGTGAATTGAATAATTAATGATTTGATTTGTTATTAAAAGAAACCAAATTGTCAAATTACCTATTTACCCTTTATTTTATTTTAGTAAATAATATTAATTATCTTAAATGATTAGCTCACATTGGATCTCACGGTTACTACAAAGTATTTAGTTCTCATTTGATTAGGCCCCTATATATATATATATACACACACACACACACACATATATATATATATATATATATCTATGAGGCCTATTCAAAAGAGAACTGATTAGTTTGTTGTAACTGTGAGATCCAATATGAACTACTCATTTGAGATATTTAAGGATATTTATTAAATTAGCTAAAAGAGTGATATAATAATTCTATTTTTGACAACTAATCAAAATATTTAATTAAATTTTTTAGAAGGAAATATTTAATTAAAATTAGTTACCTAATATATCAATTACCTAATATACATTGTATTTTAAAAACGTTTGTGGATCAAAGTGTATCATAGTGATAACATTCACAATGTTTCACGTGTATCACAATGTATTTTCTTTGTTTTATGAAATGTTTCATAATGTGCATTTTCGTTATTTCATTGCTTTACAAAGGGTATCACATTGTGCATCTTGTATGTATATATGAGTATCATAGTGAATATCATTTGTAGGTATCACAATGTGTATCTAGTATTTACATAAGGTTCATCGGAATAAAGTTCGCCGAATAAAATTCGCTGGAGAGAGAAAAGATGAGAGATGAGAAAGGATATTTATAAAATCCCTAAAATGCCCTTAATTAATATTTTAAATTAAAATTACCAAAATTATTAATTTCCAAATTTAACGTTTGATTTGTGCTTTAGATTGGATCTCATGATTATCGCAAACAAAACAGTTCTCATTTGATTAGGTGCGTGCACGCATGCACACACACACACACACACACACATATATATAAAGAAGAAAACTAAGGGGCCGTTTACCAAACGCTTACCCGGGTAAGAGCTTACCAAGTAACATTTATCTCACCTGATGAATATGGTAAGGACCAAGAATCTTACCCGGTAAGAGTGAGACAAGAACCAAAAGTCTTACCTGGTAAGTGAGGACGACGACTCTTACCAAGGTAAGCGCTTACGGGTTAAATATTTGCATATGATGTCGTTTTGGTGGACTAAAATTTTACCCGATAAGTAAATAATAATGATAAATTTTACCGGTAAATATTTGGTAAATGACCCATAAAGATAAATGGTTTAACACAATAAAATGTAGGGGTATTTATAAAAATAACCGGTCTACACAACCCTTTGTTACAAAATAACCACATTTTAGAGGTTTTACCGAAATGACCACCGGGGCGATCCGTACACTACGGGGGCGATCCCCCCATAAGTCTTGAATTTTTTTTTTCTCAAAAGTCGAGATTACTATTCATTCTCTCGTTGACCGTGTTTGACCTCGCCCCGGGGCGATCCGTACTGTACCCGGGGCGATCCGGGTAAAAAAATTTATTTTTTTTCCAATACCAATTTCACTATAAATATCAACCTCCTACTTAATAATTTTTCACACCTTCCCTTCCATTTCTTTTCTCATATATTTTACTCTCACAACCCTTAACCCATTAAACACAATAAACCATCACAACCTTTAACCCACTAAACACAATCAACCATCACAAAACATGAAAATCACGTGAAAGTGATAATGTTTGTGTGTATCTTCGAAGTGGCGGTTTATTCCAAGATATAAATGGTGTTTTAGAGTACCTTCCGATAACCTCCCCCACATGTGCAATACGTTTGTCTTCGCCAATAACGTATTCTGGGGTCGTCAAACGTGTGACGAAAAAGTTAAGTTTACGTGGTCCTTTCAATTTATTTTTTAAAACGAATACGTTATATCAGTTTATGGACGACGATGATGTGGTAATCCTCCACAACGCCATTCGTCAAACTTTACCAGAAATGTTGACACTATATGTTGTCGACAATGGAGGTTATGAAGGAAATCTATCAAATGCAAACCCGGGAGGTCCAAACACTTTTTACACCGGTGCTGTGAGCATACTCTTCCCCGACGTTAGCGTTGCAAACCCATATGGTCCATGTTTTTTCATTTTTATTAAAACACCCCTTAATTGTTAAATAAAAAACACAAAATGACAAAATAGAGGTCAAATTTCGTCAATCAGATATTATATCTGATTTAGGAGACCCAAAACAGATAAAATTAATTTTTGTTTCTCCATAATTATAAAGGTTTATTTTTAAACTTTTACCCATGAAATTTGGTTCTAAAAAAGTTAAATACAACTTCAATGGCGTATCAGTTTTATTAAAAAAAAAATAGCCGGATCGCCCCGGGTACAGTACGGATCGCCCCGGGGCGAAGTCAAACACGGTCAACGAGAGGATGAACAGTAATCTCGACTTTTGAGGAATTTTTTTTAAGACTTATGGGGGATCGCCCCCGTAGTGTACGGATCT